TGTTTTTAAAAAAAATCTGTTTTATTTGTCCATGTTTGACACTAAAACCCTGCCGGTTGACTTGTTGTCCTGTTGTCGAGCCGTGTGCAGAATCACTGCTGTGTGTTTACACTGAACTGATCAAAACCGCTGGGTCCGAGTACTCACCCATGACGTCCCCGCTGACCCACAGCTCGCCGTCTTATTTTCTCTGTGCTGCTCACCTGTTTCAATCACAAGAAAAAGAAAGTCCACCTTTTTCTCTTTTAGGGTTTTACGTTTAGTGGGAAAATTATCAGATCTTTACCGGTTTTTAAAATGATTCAAGTCTAACCTCAAGTTTACAAAAACGCAGCAATTACAGCGCAATATTGTGTATTTTAAAACTTACAAAGTGGAAAAGCTGCGTCCTGGTCTGCATACAGATGTGTGTTTACCGTAATTTCCAGACTATTGAGAGCGCCTGAATATAAGCCACGCCCACAAAATTGTTAAAAATAATAATTTTGTACGTTTGTCTATAAGCTGTGGGTGTCCACGTTGTAACATTAAGTATTTACACAGAATTTTTAATTTTTTTAAACTTTTATTTAAAATGTACGGTGCACAGATACGTACAGTAAATGTTTGTTTCTGAACACGGCTGGTTAATAAAAATACTGTAGCCCATAGCAGGAAGTCATTGATGGCGGACAGCTTGTACTGATCCTTCTCCATCAAGACCAGTAAAGTCCTACAGAAAACCAGTACATGTTTCTGCTGCTGAAGCAGGTTAGACAAGCTGTCCAAACATGGGGTGAACGGTTTTTCCCCCGTTGTGGTCATAAAAAAATGACATGGACATGGATAGTCTGTGCATTTCTTGTACGTTAGATGTTGGATCTAATTCCTTTAAGTAAAGACCAGATCCAACAAAGTTGAGTCAGGTCTTCTGGATGTTGAAACGTTTCGTCTTTCATCCAGAAGACTTCATCGGTCCAACAAAAAGAAACCGTCCAGAGGACCTGGCTTAACTTTGTTTGTTTTTTTACCTGGATTATTGAGCATGAACTTTGATGTTTTAAAGACCAGATCGTTTTTATTATTTCTTAAAACGTAAAACCGTAGAATTGACAAAAGGCCTTTCTTTTTCCCGTCTTTGTATTTTTTTCTCTGCTGAACATTTCCAGTTTCTTGTATTGACAGCATGATTCTAATAAGATGCTCCCTGGTTACCAGCATTAAAAACAGGTTTAAAACACACAGCAAGAGACAGATCTGTCTAACTCCATTAACAGGTTAACGATACAATCACTTAAGTCTTCCTTTTCCTTTGTTCAGCGTCATCCACACCGTGTGGTGTTATTGTAACCAGACTTCACCACCTCTGTATCTAACACTTAGCCCCAGTATATCACCGCTCCTTTTGTTCAACGTATCCTTTGTATTGTACAAACTATTATACCTGATAATAAACAAAACCAAACAAGGAAGAAACTCAGCTCTCGTGTTGATCTTTTTTCATCTTATCTCGTGTGTTTTATGATGTTTTACTGACACACCCCGTAGACAACCAGCGCAGATGCAAACAAATCTGTGGACTGGTTTTATTTCACCAACAATGGTGTCAAATCTTTCAGGAATTAAATAGAAGTAAATAAAATAAGGAAATAAATTGTTCTTGTTTATGTGACCTGTCCAACACGTTCAGCAGAGGAACACACTGGACTGTTTTCAGGGCTGACATTTTGTCTTGTCTGGCTAAAGTAAAATAGACAAAAGGTCATTGTCAAGAACATCTTAGTGGAAAAATACGGTAAAGCAGGTTTTACTCTGACACCTGTTTATATTTTCAACTGATGATTGACATTTTCTTCCTCTTTTCATACTCTGTTTTCATCCATCCATCCATTATCTTTGTCCGCTTCTTTCTTTTTGGGTAGCGGGGGTCACAGGTGTTTATGTCCGGGGACACCTGGACATGTCTCCAGTCCATCACAGGGACACATGAGACAAACAACCATTCACTCTCTCGTTCACAACATTTTAGAGTTACCAGTCAGTCTAACATGCATGTTTTTGGTCTGTGGGAGGAAACTGGAGTAGCTGGAGAAAACCCCACACATGCACAGAGGGAACATGTAAACTACACCCAGAAAAGCCCCCGGCTGGGATTTGAACCGACGACCTGCTCGCTGAGAGGTGGCTTCCAGCTGTGCCACTGTGCTTCCTGGTTTTCATCCTTTTCTTTTAAAGTTCAGATGTAAACGTGGTGGCAAAACGCTTCATAAAGGCCCGCAAACTGTTGAATTAACCGTTTCTGTGGTCGAGTTTAACATCACAGTGAACTTATTCGCTGTTAGTTGGATTTTTTTATTTATTTATTTTATATTTTTTTCAGGTTTGCACCTTGACCCACTTGGGACATGTTCCAGAGAAAACCCAAATATAGTTTTTCAGGATCAGGTGTAGCGGCCTCTTACAAAGACCAGCGCCCTCTGGTGGCCGGATGCAGTACAGGCCCTGAGTCGGACAGGACGTTGACTTAAAGGTGCTTTGAAAGTAACAAAAGTCAAAGAAAAAACATAAAAGTTGCTTATTTTCAGAATCTTACCTTGTAAGAACTTCACACTAAATTTAAATTAAAAATAAAAGAGAGGGGGGAAAAAAACTCGGATCTTTTCAGCGTTTTTTTTTATTACTCCTGAAGTGTGACGTCACAGGAGCCAAACAGAGGATCTAAAACCAAATAGTGCAAGACGTTTTTACAGCCTGTGGGTAAACTGGTTCAGTGTGTTGGTATTAACTGTATAAACCCACCTGAAACCACAGCTGGAGTTTCATTTCTCCAAGAAACTTTGAAGCTCTGCTGGTATCAACTTTCCTCTGTGATGTAATTTGCTGCTTTTTGCCATAATCTAATCCATGACAGACTTTCAGGGTGTGTTCACACCTGCGGTGTTTATTCAGTTTAAATCAAACTCTGGCTCAAACCTTGCTGCAGTTTGTTTGTACAGAAAGAAACAGTCGTTTACTGGACCACAATGGAAGTTTCAGTTCCTGTGAAAAAGCAGTTTGAATGCTGCTCAAGGAATTTAATCACTAAACTGTTAATGCAAGTTGAACTTGAACCGTTGACATTTGCTGAACGCAGCAATATATATAAAAAAAGCTTATGAATAAAGGAGTTTTATTGCAATAAATGGACATCTGAGAATCACTTGACACGATGAAACAGAAAAGATGAAGACATGGTTGTCCCATTACATCTGGCTGCATCTGGAACCACGCTCAGTTAAAGGTTTTTTTTTTTTTTTTTACTTTATTTAGCCAAAACAAGTACAAACAAAGATGGCAATTCACAATAGTGTAACTCTAAAAAGGGCAAACAGAGGCAGACTTCGATATGAACAAAAGGAACTAAAGAAAGAGAAAAAAGAAATAAACTACAACAAGGGGTTTTATGTTTTAGGATTAGGATTAACACGCATTAGTGGGCAATTCCATTAACATTTCATACTTCATGCGTTTCAATATATTTCAAAGATTTCAAATATAATTGGAATTCAGATTTAAAAAAACGTTAAAAACTGGGGATGATTTTATTTTTACTCTCTGTTTATGAATAAAGAATTTTTCCAGACAAAATATCAGATTACAACCGAGTTCCATTTTGTTGTTTTCCAATAATACTCCAAATGTTACCATATTAGCTGTTTGGAGGGGTTTAAATTTTAAAGTGTGTTTCTTTAGCCTTTGGTTGTATGGGGAGTTTTAAATATAGAGTGCTTAACATTTCTATTGATTTTTTATCAAATATGCAAACTATGTTATTTTAATTTATTTTCCCAGGGATTAAGGTTTCATTCAAACAGCTTCTACTTGTGTGGTTGATGAATTTTTTGTCAGTGAATGATGTTCCATTCATAAATA